TTTGCCAGGCAGACGCTTGTGCTGCTGGGCTATATCCCCGGGCCCCTACTCACCCCTTTAAAATGTGTGCCGGTTTGCTGTCTCCCATTAGAGAAAAAGAATTTCCAGAATGCTGGTGAAAGAGGCATGAGGAGGCTTTGTTAGAGGTAGATATAGGATGCACTGAAGACCAGAGTGGGCATGCTCAAAGAAATAAGGCACAATACAGCTGGGAGTTGGGGATTTTTTATTTCTTTTGGGAGTGGAAATCTGTGGAATTTGATAAAATATAGTCTCAGCCTTAGTCTTAGTCTTAGCGGGTAGGAGAGGATAGCCCACCTCTAGTGAGATAAAGATCTATTCCTCGGAGGAAAGGCTGAGACGGTGGGTGGAAGGGGATGATTTGCAAGTAAAAGGCAAGAGGCAGACTGACCTGCAGATAAAAGGGAGTTGCCCAGGTTTACTGTTTTGGGAGAAGGAAAAACAAGTAAATAAACCAAGTTGGTGGGCTTAGTGGTACACATCTATAATCCCAGCACTTAGGAGGCTGAGGCAGAAGGATCATCATAAATTGGAGGCCAGCTTGAACTATGCAATAAGACCCTGTCTCAAAACAACAACAAAAACAAACAAACAAATGAAAGAAGGGGTTGTGTTCTGAAGCTGTGGTGTTTCTTTAAAGTATAATTTTTTAGGGGCTGGGGATTTAGCTCAGCGGCACAGCGCCAGCCTGGCAAGTGCAAGGTTGTGAGTTCGGTTCCCAGTACAGGAAACAAAACAAAACAAAACAAAACAAAAATATAAAGTATAATTTTTTAAAATCTCAATTTCCTCTTCCCCTTCCTCCCCAGCTTCATTTCTTCTGTCCTACCTCCCTGGACTACACATGTGTGCTACCACACCTACCTTTTTCACTTAAGCAGCCTTTTAAAGACATAGCTCAGTAATAGAGCATGTCCTTAGCTATGAAAAGCCCTGAGTTCGATCCTCAATCCTTCAAATAAAATAAGAGTCATCAACTTTTCCAGAAGAAAGAAGACAGTAACAAAGCATTTTTTCCATGACTGTGATATGCTTGATTAAAGATTTAGCCACTGGTTGAGACACGCTGAGAAACAACTCACAGGGATAAGAGAAATAAGAATCTATTTACACTGGCTGATCTGAGCCCAGGAATTCGTTAGCAACAACATTGCTTCAAAACTTCTTTTTCCAGTCACATTAGAAGTCCAAGACTAAGCCGGGCGTGGTGGCACACACCTGTAATCCCAGCATTTGGGAGGCTGAGGCAGGAGGATCATTGTGAGTTCCAGACCCGCCTGGGCTACAAAGTGAACTCAAGGACAGCCTGAACTGCATAGTGAGATTCAGTCTCAAAAAGACAAAAAAAAAAAAAGAAGAAGAAGAAGAAGAAGGAGGAGGAGGAGGAGGAGGAGAAGTCCAAGACTGCTCAGCATGAACCAGTCTATATTCAACTAGATGCCACCATCAGGCAATTTAAAGCTACTAGTATCATCCAAAGTTAACTATCTCCCGTCTAAAAAAACCAGCTAACATATTTATAGAAAAGGTACTCGTTACAGCACAGGAAGGAAGACAGGATGTACAAAGGAAGTGTGAAAAATCCCAGATGCGCAGAAACATCCATCCTCAAAGCGAGACACTCTCCTCAGAACTCATGGAGGTTTCTGATAGGATGGCCTGGACGCGAAGGCAGCGTGGGAAATACAAAAAGGGGACGGCAGCCAGTAACCGCTCACCCTGCTATCTCTTCACAGTAGATGTAGGGTGCATAATTTTTTTCCTCCCTTCTTCTTACTTTCACTTGGCCCAAACTTGCTCTGTGGAAGCTGTCTATTCCTACCTTTAATAAATGTGCAACTTTGCCAGCGTTCACGCTTATTTTATTAAATTCTTTGCTCTGGACAGAAAGCCTAGTAATCACCTCTAAAAGGAGACTCCAGCACCCCAAAGCGCGAGAAAGAGCTATGCAGTGAATGGCGAGACAATTACAATCCAATTCTTTTTCTGTGAGGCATCAAACCCTCTGTTCTCGTCTCCTCTCACGAGAGTTGGTTTCTCTCTGGCTCCACTTTCTTCTTGTAGTTAGAGATACACACCACTGCCAGCTCTTCTCTGTTTACAAGCGCGTATTACCATGACAGTAATACCTTGCATACCTGCAACTCTGCTTCAAGGAACTTCAACCTCCACATATACCAGAAAATTGAGAAATAAGGGAAAGAACAAAATAAAGCAAAACAAAAACAAGAAAACATGGTGTAGCTCAGTAGGTGGAATATATGCTTAGCATGGAAGAGGTCCTGGGTTCAATCCCCATAAACACCATCCCAGAAAAAAAAAAAAAAAAGCTAGGGGTGCAGTGGCACACACCTGTAATCCCAGTACTCTAGAAAGTGGAAGCATGACAAATTCCAGCCCACCTGGGTGTGGTGGCACTCGCCTGTAATTCCAGCACTCAGGAGGCTGAGGTAGGAGGATCGTTGCATGTTTGAGACCGGCCTGGGCTACAAAGTGAGCTCAAGGCCAGCCTGAACTGTACAGAGAAATCCTGTCTCAAGAAAGACCAAAAAAGTAAACAAAAACCAAAAAAATTCCAGCCCAACTTGGGCAATTTAGCAACTTAGTAAGACCCTATCTCAAAATAAAAAACAAAATAGCTCAGTTCAAAGGCTCCAGGTTCACTTCTCAGACACACACACACACACACACACATACACACATGCACACAAAGTCTATGAACTGATAAATGTCCTAAATCTGAATTCTAACTTATGGGTTCATTTGCTCATATGCTGCCCAAGTTTAAAAGTTGTCTTTAATATAAACATGTAGAGGTATCATGTCAGAGATACTGTTACTTGGAGATATAAACATGAATAAAGTATCTTTAAGAAATGTACAGTTCTAGGCTGGGTGTGAGTTCAAGGCCAGCCTGAAGTGCATAGTAAAACCTTCTCAAAAAAGCCAAGAAAAAAAGAAAGAAAGAAATGAAAGAAAGGTACAGTTCTGATGATGTTAGCTAACCTGGTTTGTAGCCACAATACAATAAAAACAGCCAAATGGAATTAAGAAAAACTCCCTCCAGCAGGCATACCTATAGTGGCAAGATCAAAACTATTTTTTATTTTCCTTTTACTCTTTTCTTTTCCTTTCTTTTTTCTTCTGTAACCCTAACCAGGGCCTAAGAATGCACTCTAACCCTAAACTCCAGCCTCAGACTGCCTACATTCTTTCCTCTTCTTCATTTTTTTGAATTATTAGTTCATGTTAATCATTATGATTAATGGTCTTCTCTAAGGTGTCCCGTACACGCATATATTGTACTGTGTTCAAATCCACTCTCCCCAGTGCCCTCTCCTGTCTTCTCTTCTTCCTTCCTACATGGTCTTCTTCTCTATCAGTCTCTCTTTTCATTTTTTATTTTATATTATTTCATTTTATTTTTGTTTTGTGTTTGTTTTTTTTTTTTATACAAGATTTCACTATGCAGTTCAGATTGTCCTTGAGCTCACTTTGTAGCCCAGGCTGGCCTCGAACTCCCAGTAATCCTCCTGCCTCAGCCTCCTGAGTGCTGGGATTACAGGCGTGGGCCATCACATCCAGCCACCCCTTATATTTAAAGGAAAAGACTAATTGCCAGCATCTACAATTGTCAGAAGTGTTTCAGAGTGGTACCACGT